CGTTTTTTTTTTTTTTATGCCATACTATACTATGACGTTTTTTTCATTTTTATGCCATACTATACTATGACTTTTTTTTAAATTCATTTTTATGCCTTACTATACTATGACTTTTTTTGCCTTACTATACTATGACCTTTTTTTTCATTTTTATGCCTTACTATACTATGACTTTTTTTTGCCTTACTATACTATGACGTTTATTTTTATTCTATAATATACTACGACTTTTTTAAAATTAAATTTTTGTGCCTTACTATACTATGATGTTTTTTTCATTTTTATGCCATACTATACTGTCGTTTTTTTTTTTTTTATGCCATACTATACTATGACGTTTTTTTCATTTTTATGCCATACTATACTATGACTTTTTTTGCCTTACTATACTATGACCTTTTTTTTCATTTTTATGCCATACTATACTATGACTTTTTTTTCATTTTTATGCCTTACTATACTATGACTTTTTTTGCCTTACTATACTATGACGTTTTTTTATTTTTATGCCATACTATACTATGACTTTTTTTTCATTTTTATGCCATACTATACTATGACTTTTTTTTCATTTTTATGCCATACTATACCATGACTTTTTTTTTTATTTATTTTTATGCCATACTATACTATGACTTTTTTTTCATTTTTATGCCATACTATACTATGGCATTTTTTTTTTAATTTTATGCCATACTATACTATGGCATTTTTTTTTTAATTTTATGCCATACTATACTATGGCATTTTTTTTTTAATTTTATGCCATACTATACTATGGCATTTTTTTTTTAATTTTATGCCATACTATACTATGGCATTTTTTTTTTAATTTTATGCCATACTATACTATGGCATTTTTTTTTTAATTTTATGCCATACTATACTATGGCATTTTTTTTTTAATTTTATGCCATACTATACTATGACATTTTTTTCATTTTTATGCCATACTCTGACTTTTTTTTCATTTTTATGCCATACTATACGATGACATTTTTTTTCATTTTTATGCCATACTATACTATGACGTCTTTTTTCATTTTTATTCCATACTATACTATGACTTTTTTGTTCATTTTTATTCTATAGTATACTACAACTTTTTGAAAAATTTATTTTTATGCCTTACTATACTATGTCGTTTTTTTCATTTTTATGCCATACTATACTTCGACTTTTTAAAAAATAAATTTTTATGCCTTACTATACTATGACGTTGTTCTCATTTTTATGCCATACTATACTATGTCGTTTTATTTTTTTATGCCTTACTATACTATGATGTTTTTATGCTTCACTATACTATGATGTTTTTTGATGTACTTATGTCTTATTATACTATGATGTTTTTACAGCTTATTATACTATAACGTTTTCATAACATTTTATGCCTCACTGTAATATGATGTTTGACATTTCTATGCCATACTATACTATTACGTTTTTTGACGCTTTTATGCCTTAGTATACTATGACGTTTAATGACATTTTATTCCTTATAATACCATGATGTTTTCATGACTTACTTTACTATGATGTTTTTGACATTTTTATGCCTCACTTNACGTTTTTCGATGTTTTTATGCTTCACTCGACTATGTTTTTATTACTATTATTTTTATTATACTGTGATGTTTTTGACATTTTTATGCCTCACTATATTATGATGTTTTTTGATATTTTTAAGCCTCACTATACTATAACATTTTTATGACATTTTATGCCTTATTATATTATGACGTTTTTATGACATTTTATGCCTTACTATATTATGATGTTTTTTGATATTTTTAAGCCTCACTATACTATAACGTTTTTATGACATTTTATGCCTTATTATATTATCACGTTTTATGCCTCATTATAACATGTTTTCTTATGCTTCACTATACTGTGATGTTTGACGTTTTTATGCCTTACTATACCATAACATTTTTATGACATTTTATTCCTTATTATACTATGATGTTTTTATGCCTCATTATATTATGGTTTTTATGTTTCACTATACTATGACTTTGGCCTTACTATATTATAACCTTTTTATGACATTTTTATGCCTTTTTATAATATGATGTTTTTATGCCTTATTATAATATGATGTTTTTATGTTTAACTACACTATGACTTTTGCCTTACTATATTATAACCTTTTTATGACATTTTATGTCTTAGTATAGTATGATGTTTTTTCATGTTTTTACGCCTAATTATAAGTCTTTACATCATATTATACTACATCATTGTTATTGACATATCATACTATGACATATGTATGACATACTACACTATGACCTTTTTATGTCTTCCTATACACAAACGTGGTTTTATTTCATTCATAATCATTAATTCTTATTATTGTCTGTAGCATCAACAGAATCTTTAATTCTTTCATATTTCTCTTCAGTTTCAATAGTTTAAAGTCTGAAACGCAAACTCAAAATAGATGAGGAAACAAGTTATTTACACCATTGAATGTTGTAGGTCAGAAAGTCTTCCTCACTGATTCACTGAACCTGTGTAACAAAGTGATAATCCATGTTTCTGAGGGAAATATTTCAGTGTGACACTCACCCTGCGCAGCTCGTTGAACTCGCCTGCCATCGAAACATATTCTCCTCCATCGAACCGGACAACCTGAACAAAAACACAAAGCCATTTACTCAACCCTGATCCAGTCAGAACCCTGACCTAAAGCCAGTCTGAACCCTGATATAAAATGAGTCTAAACTCACCGCTCCAGACATCCATGTAGCGTAGTTGCTGCTCATGTACGCTGCCAGGTTTGCGATTTCTGACGGTGTTCCTAGTCGACCTGTCGGGATCCGACCGATCATCGCCTTCTCAAACATTCCTGTTGGGTCCAAACGACTGAATGCCCCCTAAAAACAACAACCAATAAGAAACAACAAATAAAGAAACAGGTAAACAAGAACAAATAAAGAAACAGTTAACAACATCATCAGCTGTGGTTGGGTAGGCAGTACCTTGGTTCTGATTGGTCCAGGCTGGATGATGTTGAACCTGTGGCCATAGCGCCCCCACTCTGCAGCCAGAGACCTGACGCACACAACAGTAACATTGTTACCATGGCGGCCACCCATCAGGGATGAACACTGATATCATGATAACAACAGTCTGATCTGTGTTCAGTATTTCCTCTTTGTTCATGTTGTGAGCTGTAGAGGATAAAGGTTAAAGGTCAGACTGACTTGTAGAGTGCCTCGACACCGGCCTTCGCTGACGCACTCGGGACCACGAAACCAGAACCAGACTCAGCGTAGATGGTGGTGATGGCCAGGAACGAAGCACCTGCATGACAACAAATGAGAGCTGTTGAATAATTTGAAAAAACTCTAAACACTCTGGAGAAATGAAAAGACTTTTTTGGACGAGCGAAACTAAGTTCACCTGGAATGTCTTCAGTCTCTTCTTTATGTGATAATCTGTAACTTTTCTACATTAAAATGTCAAAAAAACAACTTGACTTCTCTTCTATATGTTGTTGAGTTGTGATCTTACATTATCTCAAATGTTTCAGGCTATTCTCAAACCACAGAAATCTTTAATCATGGTAACGTTTCATTGGTCACCTGTCAATGACATCATACCCTCTATGATTCAATGTCATGGGTCAGCGTTATGGTTTCCTGTCAGAAGCTCAAGATGGACTTTTATCTAGTTTTAAGCCATATACACTTCACCTTTCTGACTCTGGATCAGTCTCTTGCCAAGTTCCAGAGTAACGAAGGCCGTCCCGTTCAGGACGATGTCAGTGATGCTCTTCCAGCCATTTGGTGACAGGCGCTCTGACGGACAGACAAAGTTTCCTGCTGCGTTGTTGATGATCACCTGCACCAATCAGGACACAAAACACTGTGATGTCATACTTTTTGTCAAAGCAGTTTGTTCTGTTACAGAAACTTTCTGTGTCTGTTTATGACATCACATTTTACAGTTTAAATACATTACATTGTGTGTGTGTGTGTGTGTGTGTGTTGTTACATCAGGAAGTCCTGTCAGACTCTCCATCTGGTCGACACAGCGAGAGACGGCCTCAGGATCTTTGACATCACACTGAACCACGTGGACCTGAAAACAGAGGGGGGGGAGTTCAGACCAGGTCAGACCAGTTCAGCCCAGTTCCGGTTCTGCTTCTGACTCAGGTTCTGGTTTCTCACCTTGTTTCCAGTCTGGCTGCTGATCTCCTCAGCTGTCTGCTGCAGGACGTCCAACTTCCTGAACAACAGACACAAACATGTTGGTGAGGATTTTATTTCTGATCAAAGATAAGAGATCAATGATCTGGTTTCTGTTCCTACAGTTTCCAGATCAACCTGAAAATCTCAGACCAGGACCCTCAGGTGACGGGAGAACGTGCTCACCTGGTGAGCAGGTGAACTGGAGCCAGATGGTAGAAATTAAACATGAGAAGCACCGTTATTTATTGATGACTGATCACAAGTATTGATCCACTCCATCATAAACATTCAGCAGTTATTTGCGTTTGTACAGCTGAACCTGAACCACGGACCACCACAGTCATGTGACCTCTGACCTGCTTGCGATGACACACTGAGCTCCCAGCTGTGACAGGGTGGTGGTCATGGCTCGGCCCAGTCCCGTCCCCCCTCCTGTGATGAAGGCCACTCTGTTGTTGAAAGTTCCTGTCGGCAGCATGACGCCTTCAGCCGGAGGGAAGAACGCTGACTGAGAAGTATCGGACTGAAGAACCGCCGAGCTGTGGAGCCATGACTGGAACAGAGGAAGAACGTTTCATCAGGATCTTCACACGTTCAACATGTTGGAGAACTGACGATGGACGGTGTCATAGCACCACCTGCTGACCAGGGGAGTGAACTGCACCTGCTCATCCGCAACACTTTATTTGATTTATCTACAAAACACGTTGGATCAGGTTGATCATCAGTTCATCAGTTCATTGATTCATCAGTTCATTGTTCGGTGTATAAAATCATTTTGTCACAGGCAACAAATTCTAACATTTGAGAAGCTGGAATCAGATTTTTTTTTCTTTATATAATGATTAATTATCAAAAAAGTTGCTGATTCATTTCCCATCAAATTGATTCATTGATTAATCTCTGATCACATTAATACTGTTATTCAACATTAACATCTAAAGAAGTGTGAAATGACACCTGCAGACAGACAGTACTCCCCTGTGGTGATGTCACAGCTGTGCGATTTCTGAGATGATGTCACTACTTTTATTTTGAATTCTAACTTTCATGCTGACAATTGAAAATAGTGTTTAGACACTTTATTGATTCATTTCATGGACTGAAAGAACATAAAGCAATAAAAACTTTTTAATGTCCCTGTTGTTCGTTTCATGTTACTCTGTGTGAAGTTTGGTTTTGTCCTTTTAGAATATTTTTGTCTTCTTGTCTTCATTTGTGTGTCGCTTTAATTCCATTTTATTTTACTTATTTTATGTGGAAGTATCATTCTGTATCATTCTACTGAGTCTTATTCTGGAAGTCATAATTGTTTCCTCCATTTTCAGCCTTCAACAGTTTGAATGAGATGAAACTGAAAATATTTTGAAGCATTAAGCATTAAAGTACAAAGTAGCTACACATCAATGTAAAAGGTTAATCTGATAAATAATCAGAAGCTTCGATTCTGATTCTGAATAAATCCTCGTGCACTTTGAGCTGAGGTCTGTGCTCGTGCACGTGATATCGCGGAGGCACAGAAAGTGGGTGAAAGGTCAAAATTACAGTAAAGCTCCATTTATTCATTAATTACAGGAGATTTAATAACTTTGAATAAATGACCATAAACGATCAATAACTTTGAACATCAGACGCTCCGACTGATTATTGATTACTGCCTGAATGCGTTTCTATGTGACGTCACAGTGTACAGATTTAAAGCCCTTGTTATTTTTCTGATGTTTACTCTGTGCAGTTTCGTGTCTCACCCTGTGAAGAGAAGTTCTCATAGCGCTGAAAAGTTTCGCTCCTCTTGGAAACACCGCCATGTTGTTCAAGACCTGCTCACCCTTGATCCGGATCATACCAACACGGAGGTCTGTGTGGGGGGAAACAAAAAAAGTTAAGTGGTTGACTTCGGTTTAAATCTAATCTAATCTAATCTAATCTAATCTAATATTATCTAATATTATCTAATATAATATAATATAATATAATATAATTTGAATATTGCTCAATCCAATAATAAGAAGCAAATATAAAAAACAAGTACACCAAATGATAAAATACACACACACACATTATATATATTATATAATAATATATATATATATATAATAATAATATATATAAGAGAGAGAGAGAGAGAGAGAGAGAGAGAGAGAGAGAGTACTCTGCAAATACATCAACTACTCAAACAGAATGAAACAGGAGAATAAAACATGAAGAGTTTAATTCTCTCAGCTGTTCCACAAAACAATCCAAATTTAAGGTCAGTTTATCAGCTGTTTCCAGAGCTTTCAACAATCTGTCATCAGCTGAGGGGGTGCGGGCACATGTAGTTGAAAGCTCTGGTGGACTTGAATCTTCAGTCTAAATGGTGTTGTGCTCTGTCAGTTTTAAATCACTGTTTTTTTTAAATATAAAATCAATTTAATAAAATGAAAATGACACACACGTTTTCTATTCTTCTTGACTTATTTTTGTCTGTAGCAGGTGCCCCGCCCCGCCTCCCCGCCCGTGAGCCGCAGTGGGTCAGTCCAGATTGTGACGACGATCACATGTTACCGTAATGTGTCTAATAAACTGCTACATCACAAAAAAAAATGGGCTTTATTTTCTGACTTCTCTCCCCAAACGAACTTCACAAGTAACGTGATCGGTAGTTGATCAGTTTCGTATCGATTACTGACTCCATTAATCCTACTGTGAATGTGTCTGTCAGTCTGACAGGAGTTTTATTTAGTCTGACGGGAGTTTTATTTTGAAGGGCTTCCTGTTTTCTCGGACAGTTACGGTACCGGTCCGGTGTGGTCCGACTGTTGGAACACGGAGCTGCTTATAAAGTAGCAGCTGATCGATCAGCAGCAGTCATTGATACTTTGTGACTATTGGTGACAGATGGAGGCCCGAGTCTCTCAACCCGAACTGGTTCTGGTCTTCAGCGGGAAACGGAAGTCCGGAAAAGATTACGTGACGGCCCTGATCCAGGACCGGTAAGTATTGATTATTAACCAAATTCATGAGTGATTAATTGGTTTTAATGTCAGTCTCTGGTCACCTTTTCAAATTAAAACACGTCTGATCAACATTAACACTGACCTGAGATCAGTCTGGATCAGGGTCCGGACCACAGGTCACTTCAGTCTCTCACCTGTTTAACACCAGGTAACACCTGGCCCCTCACATCAGTGCTGGACCTGGACCTGGATCTGGACCAGGACTGATGTCAACATGTTGTTGATAAACTTGACCCGTTTATTCCTTAATGAGCCACAGGGTCTTTGTGGGACCAAGTCCCTTCACCTGTTTCTTCTTCTGCAGTTTAGGTCCTGAGGTCTGCTGCGTCCTGCGTCTGTCCGGACCTCTCAAACAGCAGTACGCACAGGTGAGACCTCCACCTGCTGACACTGACACTGACACTGACACACACACACACACACACACACACACACACACACACACACACACACACACAGAAACATCACTCTGACTACATCACCATGGTTACTGCTGAGTCGTGCTGGTCCCACAGGAACACAGTCTGGACCTGGACCAGCTGCTGGGTCCGGGTCTTTATAAGGAGCAGTATCGGGCTGATATGATTCGCTGGGGAGAAACTCGACGACGACAGGACCCCGGATTCTTCTGTCGCCTAGCAACGAAAGGGGCACGGCAACCAGTCTGGGTTGGTCACGCAGAAATTCTTCTTCTTCACTTTTTTATTATCATCTTCTTTCTTCTTCTTCTTCTTCTCAACACTTTGTCATATTCTATCCACAAAGTTTTTGTGGGAACACATGCCAGCTGTGTCCCCACATCCTGCTCTCTGATTGGTCAGGTGGTGAGTGATGCTCTGCTCTCATTGGTCAGGTGGTGAGTGACGCACGGAGGCTGACAGACCTTCAGTGGTTCTGGTCGGAGTTTCCTCGACAGACTCAAAGTGTCAGAGTTCAAAGTTCAGAAGAAACCAGGAAACAGAGGGGGTGGAGCTTCACTGCAGGTGAGATGTGAGATCACGGTAAGACTTGTGATCCAGATATTACCTGTCTGACTGTTTACCTGTCTGTCTCTCAGGTGTGGATGATGCTGAGTCAGAGTGTGGGTTGGACAGCGGGGTTGAATTTGATTGGATAATCACTAATGAGGCCGCCGCCCCCTCGTTAGACGAGCAGCTGCAACCAATCCTCAAGCTGGCTGAGGAAGCAGCTTCATCACCGCTCAGTGACAGCTGATCAATAATATTATTGATGAATGATGATGTTCAGGTCTGAGGAGCTCCAAACACTCAAAGTTTTTCACTATCAGCTCCAAAACAGCACCAGGTAACTGCTGTGCAGGTCAACAGGTTCTCAGATAAAGGTGTGACACCTGTTCAGTTTCGTCAGTGAGGCAGTGACATCATTCCGTCTCGTTTCTGTGCGTTTGTCGTTAAAGCTGATGGAGCTGCTGCCTTTGTGCCTTCGAGCAACAGACTGTGTGCTGGTTCATCAGGACTGACACTACACATTAACTACAGGCCATCAGTGTTGTTGTGTACCAACAGGAAATGATGTCAGTTAAACACAAACTTTGTCAAATAAAAGTCACAGTAAAAGACGAGTGAGTTTGTTCTGTGATGAATGTTTGTGTGTTGGAAATAAAAAGTTTAATAAAATCATTAAAATTAGTTTTGTTTTTTTTCAGTTCAATTGTGGGTTTAAAGGGATCAACATTTACAGTTTAGTACAGTTTGAGGTACTTTAAACTATCTGTTACTATGGTAACCTGCATTTATCTGATCGCTACAGGATAGATGAATATTTCACATACCTGAACTGGGCACATAAATATAATGAACAGCAGTAGATAATATTAATAATGACTTCACTTCCAGCTTCAACATTCACACTGTAAATGAATAACACGCAGTGAGTCTCAGTTTGGATCTACATACCAGTGACGGTGCTTTTATTTTATAAAATCCTGTCATGATTTATTACAATGAGCTGTGACATCAGCACAGTGATGACATCACCGGCTTCCAGGTAAAAACATTTCTAAACTTTATCTATTCATGTCATCAGGTCAAAGGTCATCTGTAGGAAAAAAAAAAACAGGTCAGATTGGCCCCGGGTTTACCATACATGGCAGTGGAATGCCTCGCTGTGATTGGCATCTTAAACCACACCCCCCAGGAACAAAAATAAATCATTGGCTAACAGGAAGTTGGCTCTAATCAATCAATCAATCAATAGTTAATTATAGTGGCAAAGAAAACTAATCAGTGTAACGACAAACCGTTCAGACAAACACTTATTAGTTCTTAATTAGTTAATTAGTTCTTAACGAGGGAATGGATGTAAGTCACTGTTAAACTCCCTTATAGACAAAAAACATCGAGCAGCTCCTCGTCTTGCCTCCCTCACGTAATACTGGGGGGGGGGGTGTTGGCACCATCAGTCGGTGAGGAAGAGGGAGGAGAGATGGGGGGGCAGACAGGAGGAAGAAATTAAAGCAACACTCCAAATGTGACTTAAAGGTTCAGAGAAGGAATGTGTGAAAGCATGACTCATTAAGATGAGGAGGAGGAGGGGAGGGGGGAGGCTACACCACACCACCCTGGCACCTCCCTCATATCCACCAGGAAAGGAGGAGCAGTGGAAGAAGGGGAGGAGGTGCAGGAGGAGGAGGAATGTTTGGTCCACTGAGCAGCCACCAGTGGGAGGAAAGGAGAAGTGGGAGGAGGAATGTTTTGGCCACAGAGTTTGACCTGGACCTCCTGAGCATCCACCTGGAGGAGGGGAGATGGGGGAGTAACAGTGAAAGTAGGTTCAGCAGCAGGAGGTGCAGGTATAAGGAGGGCAAGTAGGAATGTTTTGGCCACAGAGTTCCCTGACATCAACCTGTCAGGCAGCAGAGCAAGGTGAGTGGGGGGAGGGAGGGGAGAAGCAGTGGGGGAGAAGGTTCAGCAGGAGTTCAGCTCCTCCATGGTCTGATGCAGAGTTGCCTGAAGCTCCATGTTAGCGTTTCTGGCAGAAGCCAGAGAGTCTGAAAACAGAAAACAAAATGTCAGATGTGAACATCCCATCATGACCCGATTAGTCCCGCCCTCCTAATCGAGAAGTCCGGCCCCCCTCCTCACCTTCCAGGTTGTCGATGGTTTTCTCCAGTTTGGCCACTGAACGTTCAGCAAGTTCCGCTCTGGTCTCAGCCTGGAACACAAGAACAGGTGAGACAGGAAGTCGGCAGGTCACAGGTGAGACAGGAGGTGTTTAACTAACTTTCTGAAGATTAGGTCTCACCTCTTTGAGTTTGCTGCTCAGGTTCTTGATCTCTTCTTCATACCTGTCCTCCTTCTGAGAATACTGAGAGAGAAACAACAGCCAATCAGAGAACCAGGTGCACAGACAACAGCCACTCAGGTGTGAGGACACCTCTGAGCGCTGTCTGAGCTGAGGGGCAGAGTCGTTGTGGATTAAACACCTCAGTCGGTCTGCAGTCCGTCAAATAACATTTACCTGTTGATCACCTGGTCAGAGATCAAACTGTGGCTGCCATGGAAACTATAACCCCCCCTCCCTCCTCCTCCTCCTCCTACCTTGTCAGCCTGGGCCTCCAGAGACTTTGAACTAGTGAAGACAGTTTTCAGCTCCTCCTCCAACACTCGACTCTTACTGCAGGTCAAAGGTCAAATCAAACAGAGGGGACATGTCAGGTGTCATGTTTACTTCCTGTCTGTGGCGTCTGCTGTCAGGTGTGTGTCAGGTGTGTGTGCCGTGGGTCCACTGTAGTTGTGTGTGGCAGGTTAGGGTCATGCAGAGAGCAGCAGGAGCAGCAGGAGGAGGAGCTGAAGCAGCAGCTAAAGGTCAGGGGTCAGAGGTCACTGGAGGTCAGAAGGAGGAGCTCCTTAGTTTGACTGACAGCAGGTGGGAGGCTAGGTGACCCTCAGTACCTTGTCCTCAGACGCCTGCAGGCTCTTCAGTGATTGGTCGAAACTCCTCAACTGCTCTTCCAACCTCCGAACCTTACTGATAGACAGGTAGGTGGATCAACAGGTAGACAGGTGGAGAGACAGACAGGCAGACAGGTAGCAGGATGTAGGAAGCAGGACGTAGGAAGCAGGACATGCAGTGGCATCAACATGGAGAGGAAGGTAGAAAAAGATGGATGCAGTAAGATTAGGGCGCTGTTAGTGAAGCAGTGACATCATACTGAGGTCATCAGTTTACCTGTGCTGCAGTGAGCAGGTCACACAGGTGACAACAGGTGACATGCAGCAGGACAGAGATCTGAACTGGTTTTAGAAACGTGGTTTTGACAGCAGCGGGGACAATAAGGACTAAAGTGATTCATCGTTAACTCACAGGTTTGTTACCACCTGTAGAAATCAATCATTTCTAATTACTGACATCAAAGTGAGCCGCACCTGGAGAGCAGCAGCAGGTGGAAGGACTGATTAACCAATTAAAGATTATTCTTTGAATCAATAAGTGGAAGTCCTGACCGTAAAATCACACAGAAACATTTCATAACACGAGACGTGATTTAAATCTTTGGTCATTAAATGTTTTAAATCAGGAAACTGAATCAATGATTTTAAGACTTGAAGATAAAATGTTTATTAATGATGTTGAACTGAAGATTTTGAATTTGGTTTTAAATCAATTTGTTTTTATTCATTGATTAAAGTTCATGAAGAGCTGCTGAAACCTGAAGCTTCATCTGTCTCTCTATCTGTCTGTCTGCCTGTCTATCGGTTTACCTGTCTGTCTGTCTGCCTGTGTGTCTAATTGTCTGTCTATCTCTGTTTACCTGTCTGTCTGTCTCCATTTACCTGTCTCTCTGTCTGTCTGCCTGATTGTCTGTCTATCCATTTACCTGTCTGTCCATCTCCATTTACTTGTCTGTCTACCTGTCTGACTGTTTACCTGTCTCTCTGTCTGTTTACCTGTCTGACTATTTACCTTTCAGTCTGTCTACCTGTCTGACTGTCTGTCTGCAGTATCAGAGCAGCAGCAGCTTCATGCTGTAAGCAGCTGTTAGACATGCAGTGTGTGTTGGTGCAGTGTGTGTTACATGCTCAGTGGTCACTTTATTAGGAACAGCTGTACAGTGTGATCCAGATCGACACCATTTGCGGTGTGTGTATCGTGTGTGTGTGTGTGTGTGTGTTTGTGTGTGTGTGTGTGTGTGTGTTATAAACCTCTCAGACTGCTCGGCTCTGTCTTCAGCTCGTTCCAGTTCTCCTTCCACCATCACCAGTTTACGAGCCACCTGTCAATCAAACGCAGACAGTGTACAGGTGTTAGATGACTGAACATTAACCCTGTACTGTCTGATGATGACAGGTCACATCTGACCTCCTCATATTTCCGATCAGCCTCCTCAGCGATCTGTTTGGCCTCTCTCAGCTGAACCTCCAGGTGCTCCATCTTCTCCTCGTCCTTGAGAGCTCTGTTCTCTATCACCTTCATACCTCTGGGGGGGTTGGGCAGGTGAAAAGAGAGACAGGCAGCACTGTCAGTACTGATCTCTAATCACAGCTGGACGTCACCTGAATATAACACTTCATCATCATGTCTCTGTCTCTCAGCTCCACTGAGAGGAGGTGAGACAGGGGGAGACAAACCAGAGACGACTCCTATCTGTACCTGTCCCCGGGTCTCAGTGCTCATGACTGTCAGGTGTGTGTCAGGTGAGTGCACTCACCTCTCACTCTCATCAGCAGCCTTCTCCACCTCGTCCAGTTTGTGCAGAGCTGTAGCCAGTCTCTCCTGAGCTCGGTCCAGGTTCTCCTCACTGAGCTGCAGACGGCGACCTAGAGCCGTCACCTCCCCCTCTGCCTGCCAGACACACAGCAGGGAGCAGGGAGCCCACAGTCAGGTTCACCTCTGATCGATCAGTCATCAATCAACCATAATCAATTCCATTTCATGTTTGTTCCTGTACAGTTTGTCTCTGGTTACTTCAGGTCAGACAGAATGTACACCTGTAGCAGGGGTTGTACTACAGCACTACAGAGTACTACAGGCTGTCACCTACAACAGGTGAGCAGGTATTCTTGGCATCTGACACAACCTGATTGAAAACACACAGAGCCACTGAAGAACCTAAGGAATGACTAAGCAGACCATCTTCCACCTGTACAGGTGTGTGTACCTCCTCTTTACCTGTACAGGTGTGTGCTGTAGGTGTGTGTACCTCCTCTTTACCTGTACAGGTGTGTGCTGTAGGTTTGTGTACCTCCTCATTACCTGTATAGGTTGTGTGCTGTAGGTGTGTGTACCTCCTCATTACCTGTACAGGTGTGTGCTGTAGGTTTGTGTACCTCCTCATTACCTGTATAGGTTGTGTGCTGTAGGTGTGTGTACCTCCTCTCTGCTCCTCTTCTCCTTCTCCACATCCTTCTGCAGTCTCTCCGCACGCTCTTCGGCCTCCTCCGCCTGCTCCTGAAGAACTTTGATCTTCTTCTTCACGGCCTCAATGCTGTTCACTCCTCCACTCATCTTCTTCTTCTACTGCACAATAAACAGCAGGTGTTTAATGATTATTATAATTATTAGTCTGTGAAAGTTTTTAGTGCCAATGAAACTTTATTAATAAAGTTTCACAGAAACTTTGATAGTGTCAATAAGACTTTATCATTGTAGGTGAAACTTTATTAGTATCTGTGAAACTTTATTAGTTTCTGTGAAACTTTATTAGTGTCAAAACCTTATTTATCATCAATGAAACTTTATTAGTGTCAATGAAACTTTATTAGCGTCTGTGAAACTTTATTAGTGTCAATGAAACTTTATTTGTGTCTTTGAAACTTTATTAGTGTTGGGTTGGTTCTAAAATCTGTCTCTGTGAATAGGTTGAGGGTTGGTTAATAATTTCGATTAAGTTTATTTTATGTATTTACACCAAAATCATCTCGTCTGATTTATGGGTTATTGATCTATCAGTTATTACTTGTTACGTTGGGCTGATCAGCAGTTAGCATGTTAGCTCCAAATGCTATCAGCAGGACCACCGCCCTGTTAGCCTGTTAGCATATTAGCAGAGCCCACAGCTAGCAAAGACAAAGTGAGCTGTACCTGTGTGATCCTTCTCACCTGTCCGAGTCCTCTGAAGATAACACACCTGCGGTTCGAGCCCGTTTTCACCTGAACCCGTCACTTCCCGGTTAGCAGCAGGCTAAATGTTAGCTGTTAGCGGCTAACGGAGCGGAGCTGCCGCCTCACTTTTTAAACTCAATAAAGTTTTACAAACAGCCTGAAACGGCTCGCGGACTCTGGTGTCCAGGTGTCCAGGTGTCCGGGTCTGCGTGTTCTGAGAGTTCTGGTCGTGGTCTCTCTCGGTCCTGGTCCTGGTCCTGGTCCTGGTCCTTGACTTAGAGCTGATCTCCGCTGTTTCCTGATCCAGCCAACTCCCAACTCAGGACTACACCCTCTTCCGGGTTAAATTCCCTCCACAGGAAGTGTCGTAAACATAGACCATTACAAAATAAATGGTACTTAAATCAGTCATAATGTTCACTTAAGTAAAAGCAAAGTAAAATAAAAATACAACATAACCAGTAAAAACCAGTAAAACTACTGTATTCATGCAACAAAATGTATTTAAAGTATCAAAAGTACTCACTGTCAGTGTTGTACCATCACATCACTAATAATTATTACTGATGTATTGGTCTGTGCATAAAGTATAATTCTTCTGCAGTTGTTCACGTTGTAGGGGTATTGCCTAGTTTCATTGTCCTGCTTGTGCTGAGTGTAAATGTAAGTTGACGGTTCGGCGCTCGTTCTTCATTAGCCGATGCTGCCTAAATGCTGTTAACGCTTTGCGTGTGTTATTGTACTATTAAATGAAGACGTGCAATTCAATTCACAATTGCTGTACAGGTTACTGTTCATTCTTATTTATAAAGGTGGTGGGGAGAGGTGAAGGGGTTGGTTCGATATATGGTTGGAACATAAAAGGTTTAGGGGTTGTTGCACAGCTTAATCCAACCAACATGACGGAGGAACAGTGTTGGGTCTGTAAATAATGTGGCAACCTAATAAATGTAGACGAGTAGAACATCTCAGTGATGTATAATATAACAGACAGTTGACAAATTAAAGAAAAAACCCAGATAAAGTGTAGTACTAAGGTGTTGAGCCAAAACAGCTTCAGTGGTGGTGGTGGTGGGGGGTGTGTGTGTGTGTGTGTGTGGGGGGGGTGATAAGGTGGTACTGGCCAAGTTGGACTCTGGCATCCCAATGAAAACACAATGATTATCGTATCAAATAAAATGACTTTCCTTTGCAGGGCAAACAAGGACATTTTAAGCAGCTCTTCTTTTGACTGAAATGGTTTTGAATCATTGTAAGGACAAACAAGATTTATTAATCATTCATATAAACATCATTTAGCATATACTGCTAAAACAAAAGTAGGAAAATATGACCAATATGAATTTGCTTTTTCAAGCACAACCAGCAAAGGTGGCATTTAACATTTTAAAACATCTGATGTTAAACTAACATACATATGTTGACACCACATTTTTCAGAATAAAGGCTATGTTAAACCTTACATTACTTGGTTGTGGTTTAAGTGGTAGTTTACAGTTTGTAGAGCGTTTGTCAGTAAAGTGTTACATCAGAGTTGTTACTGAGTAGTTCCTCATTACTTCATCACGTTTTCACAATAAGTTCCTTAACAACAAATCAGAGACAGCAAGTTTCCAAACAAGTATTTTAATTATTAATATTCAAGCCACACACACACACACACACACACACACACAACACACACACACACACACATATATATATATATATATATATATTAATATTCAAATCCATGTTGTCTTCTGATGCATTAGTGATGACAACTTAAAAAATTATGTAATAAACAGAATATCATTTTAACTCATCTTGAACGTTTTAACTATGATTTGTGGGGAAATGCAATTACACAAAATACAAACTGTTTTTATTTTAGTAGATTTTTATCATTGTCCAGTTACATTCAGGTGTAAAATAGGGTCAAAATTCTACTTGTAACTTCAGTGTCAAACACTGTGGGAACTTTGAGCACCAAGTTTTACACAAAGCACTTTGTCTTTCACAGTGTCTGTGTGTTACCTCACCACTGGTCATTTGTCCGGTTTTATTCACACTTTTGTTTTTCTTTTTACAAATGCAAAACTCGTTTGCATCATTTTATTGTCTTTGAGGGTAATTTGCAACACATTACAACAGAACTGCATTGTAACCTAAAGTGAAACCATCAGCATATTGTGGTTGATTTTACAGTTGTAGAGCTTTGGTCAGTAAATGATACATCAGAGTTGTTACAGTGTTTCCTCATTACTTCATCATTATGCCACGAGTTCCTTCACAACATATCAGAGACGGCAAGTTTCCAACAAACAAGTATTTAATTATAATATTTAATTATGATATTCAAGCCACACACACACATACACACACACACACACACACACACACACACTCACACACACACACACACACACACACACACACACACACACACACACACACACACACACATGTATATACATATACATATATACATGAATAATCACATCCAGGTTATTTTCTGATGCATTGGTGATAAGGACATCTGACGTTCAGGCTGTTCGTTTTTTCTGAACGTACACGGCAGCAACCAACATTCAGTTCATTCATTCAGCGTCTCAACTTTGTGCTGAGTAACGCTCTTCCCAAACAATTAATGTTTCAGTTCCATTCAGTTAAGCGTTTTAACCTATGCTTTTACCATACAAGTCAGCCTTCTTCACAATCAAACAGGATCTCTGATAGAGTAAACTCTAAAACTCTGACGCTGTCAGACTTACCTCCGGTACCGGGTAGTTGATTTCTACTGCATCAAGATGTAGGAGGACGAGGGTTCCTGGAGACCGGCGTGATGAAGAGAAGGAGATGCGAGTACTTTACTTACTGACCATGGACTGCATACTGAGCCAAGAATGGTTCACTGAAGCCATCATGATTTTAGTCGTCCATATTTAAATCCGAAATGGCGCCAACACTGCCCAATCACTGCAAAAGGGCAGTGTATAACAGTGCAGAGCTCCCCTCTGCTCAGTTTCTTCCCCTTCCTGCTCCACTGTCTGTCACAGGTGTTTGTTTGTTCCCCACCATGGTTGTATTATTTCAACCTAATATGTCTTAAACTGTGGAACATGTGGGGAACATGGATGTAGGCCTATTATACTTTTCTTATGTTGTTATTCATATGACTTGGCCGAGTCTGGGCCGAGAAATCCAGTGTTGTGAGTAGTTTTGCCACCTTGTCTCATGGACACATGAAAGGAAAGAGTGAACCATCAAACATGAAGTCCAGCTGCAAGTGACACAAAATCCATAAAGCATTACCTCACTAACCCCATAATCTACAGCAGCTGTGTAGTGTAGCTCCTAACAGGTCTCATCCAGATTTTAAATTGGACATAAGGTTTAAGATATAAAACAGGCCTCGCAGCATCAGAGCCCCAGTCATTGTTATAGAGCAAACTGGGATGACATTGCACATTTTAAGGTTCTCCCTTTGGTTTCTAACTTTAGAGGAAAGTGCAGCATGTTAACAAATATTCACCAGTTTGTACTGGGGCACAGGAAGAAAATGTCAATTCATAAAACCCCCCCCCCAAAAAAAAACCCAACTGGTCAAAGCAGATGTCCGCCCACCCTGAGCCCGGTTATGGTGGAGGTTTCTTCCTGTTAAAAGGGAAGCCTATTGTGGATTTTATTCCAATGATCATGTAAACTTTAAAATGACAATGTAATTTTCCCCACGTGTGTTCTAGGATTACACTGGAGAGGCAGACAACAGGTTCCATTTCAAAGTATTTAATTTTTTGCTTGCAGTGAGACAGGTGTGAGTGGTCATATTTCTACAAATAAAAGTGTCAAATTCTATCATATTATCTTCAACAGACAACAAATATGAACAATTCAAAATCAAAAATCAGTACATCAATACATTCTCACTTTAACTATATATGTGAGAACAAACCAAGGAGATTAGATGTTCTACTTAACAACAAAATAAACATGACTTGAGAAAATATAATGAAATGAACTCACTCACTGCACTCAAGAACAAAGGTGAAATGATGGAGGGAAGCAGCTGAACTGAAGGGCAAACAGAGAATGAGCTCAGGACACAGAAGAAAGAACATTCAAGGATTGACACTGACCTCACTCACATTGCAGGTGTGTCACACTGTGACTGTTGGTGGAAAGACTGTGGAGGAGTGGAGGGAAGAGATGAAGAGAAGACAGGACAACTTTTTCTATCTCCATTTATAACTTTTAATTGACGTTATTTATAATTATTATATTTGATTTGTTGCATTTGGAGTGGTGTTTGTGTCACCTGATGTCTCATGATGATCTCAGTCCAGTGTTCCCTCTCTTTTAGCTCTGTGTTTGGTCTCCACCAGCTCCTGAGGGAAATCTGTCTCTTTAGCTTCTTATTGCTCCACTATGTTCAGCAGCTGCTCTCGGACCGTGTCTGTCTGCTGTTTGCTGGTGAGAGGTCGTGGACGGTGGCTACAGCCCAATAAGTTTATATATTCAAAGATGACAAAGACGGTACCTGAATCATTATTTTACTGCACAGTTACATTGCATTCACCATGGCTTTAGAAGGGTCTTAAAAACTCTTGTGACAGCTTCAAAAGGCTTTCTGAGGGACACCTGCAGTGGCTGAGGTCAGTGTCAGGATGAGTCTCTACGACATGAATAAAACTGAAAGTAACGTCCTTTGTACAGATTGAAACGAGAGGAGTGAAGTTCACGCACCAAGCAGCAGAAACGTTAAAAAGTTCTTCAGGAGATTTTTAGTTGAGTTGATTATTCTCTGTCCTCAGTGTTCACAGATTGAAAAGGTGTTTAATAAATAAACCTGTGATTAAATTGTACTGAGTATGTTTTTCTCATATTTACCATCTGCCTCATGATGAATCTAACAGGTCACTTTGGTAAATTATACAGAATACCATATGTTAGTGTTTGCTGACCGTAGATCTAGTTTGTTGAACAAGGTTCCCTGAGCTGATGGAATCTGGTGGCCACAGCAAATTAATTGCTTATTGTCACATTTGTACTGTTTTCTTTTATGGTACATGGTGCACAAACACACAGCCTAGTGAAGTCCAGGCAGGAAGACAACAGCAAGAAGCGCCTGGGTTCAGCTTCAACCCTGGTTCTTTCTTGCAGTGTTGCTTGTTCTCCTTTTGTTTTCTCCAGGGACTCTGATTACTAGAACAAAGACATGCTCATTTAATTAATTAAGGACTATTGTCCATTGGTCTGAATGTGTGTGTGTGTGTGTGTGTGTGTGTGTGTGTGTGTGTGTGTGTGTGTGTGTGTGTGTGTGTGTGTTGTTGTGTGATAAACCATTTTCCTGCTTTCCTTCCAGTGCATGCTGGGATACATTCCAGTACTTCAGACTTTTTTGTTTGAAGTTTGATGTGATGAAAAAAAGTTTGATACATTTCATCCAGAATTACAAAGTTTGAATGTAGAAGTCACATAAATATAAAACTAATAAGATTTACCTTAAATTACAGAGAAGATCTTTAAATTGTTAGTATGGACATTAACCTTTATAATAACAAGCTACATTTTTAATTACAGATAATTACTGTCATTTTACATAGATTTGTTTGTAATTTAAGAAAGCAGAAAAAATACTGTGTAAATAATACAGTAATTTGTCTTTACAAAAATGGGAAATAAATGTAATTCATTATTAATTAATAATTAATAAAATAATTAACAGATCATTTCTGTAATTTTAGACTTAAAAAACAGAAAATTACTGTTAGAAAACTTAGTTATTTTCTGTAAAATTTTGATTTTTTTTTACAGTGTATATCTGCTATAACTGCAGGTGAATTCTTTAGAATTAACATGTTTTTCTAAAAGAACAAAATAAACCTTCAATGTTCAGATCGAAAATGAAAGATGAAGAGTTTTTTTTATGATTTAATGTCCAGAAATAAAAAGACGGACAGCAGCAACATGTTGTCCAGCTGATTAGATTTATAAAGAGCACACATACACAGAGTCAGAGAATAAAAACAATAAACTTACAGCAGAAATCATTTACACTTTCTGATCAGATCTTTATACAACAAACACTAACTTCACTTTCTACTGTTTAAGAGTTAAAATAAAACACGATGAGAAGAGTGTTTAATGAGCTCAGTCTGAACTTGAAACTGTTGTCAAACCCGAATATTACAGCATCATATCAGAGTATTACAGCATCGTTATCCAACGTCTCATCTGACACTGGATCAGGTCACAAACTTCATCCAGTTTTCCTCTTCTGTTAAACTCATGAACGACTCGTTTGTAAGATGATTAATGTTGGAAAGGTTAAATCACAAACAGCAGCTTCACCTGCAGGTAGATCACATGATACAGAAACACCTATAAAACCATAAAACTATCCGCTCTAAAAACTCTTACAGGCCGTGGACTCAGAGGCCGGAGACAGTTTCACATCTTTACAGTTACAGAGGGAGAAAACATGATTCAAAACCTGTGAACTGTCTCTGTTTGGCACCAGGAGGGTTCATGAGATCAGCTGTTTTCTGTTGTCACTGTGTTTTAGAAATGCGACAGTGATGTAAAGACCTCAGCTCTGTGGAGGATAAAGTTTTATTCAAACAGTGGCACCTGGTTTGGTGGGCGTGTCATGTATCATGTGATCGACCTGCAGCTGTTGGTTAAAAGATTCAGGTGAAGTCAGCTGATTCATCCTGGCAAAACACAGAGCGCCTGAAACCTTCATCACCACCACCTTCATCTTCATCATCACCACCTTCATCTTCATCATCATCTTCATCAGGGTTAAACCCAACCTTCATCACTGCTGCAGCAGCTTTAGTTCAAAATCACTTCAGCCGAATCCTCAAATCATCCAACATCAACTCAGTGGTCTCCAGGGCAACGACAGTGTCCACGGCAACAGTGTCCACGATGAGCTGAGATGATTCACACTGACCTGGTTCTGACTCTGAGCTCATCTCTTTAGACTCTAACTCCGCCCACTCGGCGGTGGAGACAAACGGAAACAGACGTGATCAATAAAAACAGCATCAAATGAGCTGATTGGTTTGTCCAACCGACCAATCAGTGAGACAGAATACGTTCAGGTTCTATATAAGCCTGAGAGAAACAGCCACGCTAACATGCTAACACGCTAACATGCTAAGAGAGTCTTCAGCAGTGATCTCAGGATTCAGTCAATAAACATCTTAATTTTTTACACTGCTCTTCTACAACTCAAAACTATATACCCCCCCCTACAGCCCCCCCCCCAAACCCCAAACACAACACACACCCACGACAGCGGCACACACACACACGACACACGAGTAACCCCCCCCCCCTCCCAATGTTACACTGGTCTGATCCTCTTGTGTTTGATCATTAACATTTTAAGATTTTTGGTTTCACATTTTATAGAAACACAAACTTATTTGTTTTTCATCTAATGTTCCAACTGTTGAACTACTTTTAGTTTTAGTTAACATATAAATACAGTTTACACTGAGGCCGTCTGCCCCCCCCCACCCCACCCCCACCCCCCCAACTCCATACAGAGTCTGAGTTAACAGGACTGTTCCTCATACAGCAACTAAAGTGAACACAGCAGGTTGATATCCAAAGGCATTCTGGGTAATGTAGTGTCATGTCTGTCTGCTTCATACAAACCACACGTCACAGTCCTGACACTGTGACATCACAGCCACCTCACTCTGTAATTAGTCAGCTGTGTGAAGGTGAGACAGTGGGCGGGGTTTAATTTCTCCATTTGTTTCGTCTAACAGGTAAAAGTCTCACGGAGGATGAAAAGTAAAACGTTTTAGAAACAGTTTTATTCCTAAAACTTCAGCTTTGATTTCAAGCATAACTTCTGATCAATAATAAAATAATAAATCTAAATAAATCTGATCATATCGGACCTGTCAATGTTTCAGTCAAACTCAAACTGGATTGAACAAAAATAACGTCAGAATTCAAGCTCAGTTTTCATCCTCCACACAAACTATCTGAGACTGAGTTTACACCATATCACAGACTCAGACTCAGAGACTCAGAGCCTCAGACTCAGAGACTCAGACTCAGAGACTTAGAGACTCAGACTCAGAGACTCAGACTCAGAGACTTAGAGACTCAGACTCAGAGACTTAGACTCAGAGACTCAGAGACTCAGACTCAGAGACTCAGAGACTCAAACTCAGAGACTCAGACTCAGAGACTTAGAGACTCAGACTCAGAGACTCAGACTCAGAGACTTAGAGACTCAGACTCAGAGACTCAAACTCAGAGACTCAGACTCACAGACTCAGACTCAAAGACTCAGACTCAGAGACTCAGAGACTCAGACTCAAAGACTCAGACTGAAGGACTCAGAGACTCAGACTCTGAGACTCAGAGACTCAGAGACTCAGACTCTGAGACTCAGAGACTCAGAATCAGAGACTCAGAATCAAAGACTCAGAGACTCAGACTCAAAGACTCACACTCAGAGACTCAGTAGGAGGCAGCAGCAGGGTTTAACCCTCAGAAATAGATTGGACATTCAGGACTGACTGTTCATCTGAAGCAGACTGAGACTGATTCATTGTAGGAGCTGGTCCCCCCCCCGCCCACCCCCCCCATCCCCAACAGACAGGCCCAATGAAACTCTTTAACCCCACCCCCTTCATAAACCCCGCCCATTTACACCACATGTGGACGGGGCTCCAGCTGACGTGATGATGTAAACAGGTCACATGGTTATACTTCCTGTTTCTACCCTAAACAGCGACATTCAGAAAAGTACGACAGCTGAGATCAAAAGCTTCTGTAAAACAGGAAATGACATCATCTCCAGCCGAGTGACTGATCAGCCAGTGACATCTCGGTGATATCACAGTGACATCAGCAGAGTCCCTGAGGTCATCAGGCGGATAGTGAGATGACGTTAACTGGGATCAGTGCCACACTCACTCTCCTCGGGGATGTCCTGCAGGTCTGAGGGATCAGAGGTCACAGGTTACCAAGGCAACCACTACCAATCATACACTGCACCCGTCAATAATAAACAATAACTACACGACATGCTTTAACATTATCATCATCATTATGAATGAACTTAATCTTTTATAATAATCAATGATAGTGATTGATTATTTGATCTGGTACCGACCTCTGGGGCTGTCAGAGCGAGGAGAGATCTTCATCACTTCCTCCTCCTCCTCGTTTCCCTCTTGGACGCCATCTAATTGGTCGACTGGATCCTGACTGGCCAATGAGGAGAGGGCGCAGGACTCCAGTTCCCTGCTGCCCCGCCTCTTGTTCGCTTGCTGACAGGTGCAGAAATATTTAATATTTCAGATGTTTCATTTAACAGCAATGAAACACTAGTCATCAGACTGAACTCAGTCACATGACCAAACACTCATCGTCTCATCGTGGCAGCAAAGCCAAACGTTTTCATAATTTAACTTCATATTAACATGTTTTATAGTTCGCACAATATCAGACTGTTTGATGCTTTTAGAGCTTTTTAAACTGCTTATACACAAAGTCTTTATACGTCACAAATATATTTATTTCTGAAACCCGTGTTTGACATTTGAGACATGTTTATGATATTTTTCTTTTCGCTGTTTTTTTAAATGTTTGGATTTGTGTCTAGAGACAAGTTTAGTTTAGAATGAATTTATTTATTTATTTATCTACCTGACATATTTTCCACCCATCCATCCCCCCAACATACCTGTTCCTCCTTGATGACATCACCAATCCCTCCATTGACCCTCCTCCTGCCACCTTGCTCCGCCCCCTCCCTGTCAGGCTCCTCTCGCTTTAGACGCAGCCGCGTCACTTCCTCCTGCAGCAGCTCCACCTGCCGCTGCAGCAGCTGCGCCTCACCGCCAGCATCCAGCCCCGTGTCCCGCGACATAGACCGACTGAGTCGAGGGCCGGGGGCGGGGCTGGGGGTGGAGCCTTGGTTGACTGTGGGGGCAGGGCCTGTACTGACCGACAGCTCCAGGATCGAGTCTTGCCGAATCACAGCAGCCTGGGGGTGGAGTCAGTGAGTAACAAGGCCTTCATCATCATCATCATCATCATCATCGTTACCATTATATGAATAACAAAGATGTAAATGAACAATTATTGTGGTGAGTAAACAACAATAGTGAATAGGTCACTGTTGCTGTCTGACCTGTAGGGCATGAAGCTGGATGCTCAGATTGACCAATCGCTGACGGACTTCCTGTGGAGAGGGCAGGTATCAACTGTTAAAAACTGCTCTGATTGGACAAAAACTGCCTCCATCTCAGTTCATTCAGTTGCATCCTTGTTTTCCTCATGTCTTTTCTGAGCCAGATCACAACCAGAACACAGCCAGATAACAGCCGGAACACAGCCAGATAACAGCCGGAACACAGCCAGATCATAGCCGGAACACAGCCAGATCACAGCCGGTCAACAGCCGGAACACAGTATTTGTATTTGTATTTGTATAGACACTGTGATGAACTGGTGACATTATAAAGACAGTTTCTAGTAGAGCTTTTGTTTTTATTGATTATTTAGAGTTTAATTCTCTCATGTTGCCTTCAAAATAAAGACTTGGGTTTCCATGTGACTTAAGCCAGACTGAGTTCTGGGTAGCGCGATGAATGAAGATATACCTGCTGATCTCTGATCAGAAGATAGGAAGTGTTCCTTACCTGGCTTAAGGTGCGTTCCTGCAGCTGGTTACCATTTCTGTCCTGAAAGACACAAACAAAATATTTAAAACACAATAAACTCAGAGACTTTCACAGCTGGGCTTTTATTTTGATAGTCTCCTCTAACATGGACTCCATCATCAATCAGGAACAATTCTATTCCAAATCTGAACTTGTTTCTATTCCCAGTTACTGTTTCCTAAACTCTTTAAACTCATTTACATTCAGTTTTTTTTCTCATTGTTCTGAATAAAGTCAAACTTGCAGCTTTGATCTGAGTCAAGAGGAAAAACATCAGAGTTCAAAGGTGAGTTTTTGTTTTTTTTTACCTTTGAGGAGCTGCTGTTCATCTCAAAAGAACCGTTCAGAGAACCAGAGTCACCATCTGAGAGAGAGACAGGTAAAGACGGAGACAGACAGGTGAGTGTCAGTGTCTGTTCAGCAGTTGAACACTAGGTGGCAGCATCATCATTTCTGTCGTCCTCTCACAGGTGGAAAGAAACAGAGAAGAAGAATGACTTTCCGTCTCCAGGGTGATTAACTGAACACAGCTGTTTTAACTGCTGTGAATTTTAGAATGAGAAAAACTTTATTGTCCATTGTCAGGTGACAGAAAACAAACGAGCGTCCACACAGCTGACTACGTCTCAAGTCAATCAATCAATTAGTTGATCAACAGAAAATGAATCAGCAGATATTTTGGTCAGTTAATCAATAACTGAACTGAATATTATTTTCACTGTTTTCTGATTTTATACAGAAAATGATTCATTGATCAATTGATAAAATTATTGGAAGATTAATTGATAACAAAAACAGTTGTAAGTCAGACACTAGGACACAGCCTTCAGGTGACAGGTGACTCACTGCTGAGCTCCTGGTTGCCGTTGGTTACGGTGGACCTCTGGATGTTGGCGTCCAGCAGCAGCTCCGTCAGTTTGTCCACTGAAACACGAGAAACAGCTTCAGTTCAGCAGCTGCGTGAAACTGATCAATCAATCAATCAATCAATCAAACCAGAGGGAAGCTCCACCTTCAGTGACGGAGGCAGTGAGGAGCGGCTCGGCCCGAGGAGCATGAGGAGTGTCAGCCCTGAAAAGATTCCTGCACGATGAGGAGCTGGAGGAGGTCCTGAAGGAGGAGGTGCTCACCTCCACGCCTCCTCCTTCTTCTTCTCCTCCTCTTCCTGTCGCCTCCACCAGGTCAGAAAACAGAGTCACACGCTCCTGCAGAAGCTCTAGCACCTCCCTGTCCTTCTGCTGGATATCGGCTGGGAGGAGGGAGGGGGAGGAGAGGAGGAGAGGAGGAAAGGAGAAACCTTTAGATCTTGAACAGCTGCAAGTTTTGTTGAACACAGTGCAGCAGGAGGTGGTAGGTGAGGAGGTGCAGTAGGAGGAGGTGCAGTAGATGGAGGTGCAGGAGGAGGAGGTGAAGGAGGAAGAGGTGCAAAATGAGGAGGAGCAGTAGGAGGAGGTGCAATAGGAGGAGGTGTAGTAGGAGGAGGTGCAATAGGAGGTGGTGCAGGAGGAGGAGGTGCAATAGGAGGAGGAGCAGTAGGAGGAGGTGCAATAGGAGGTGGTGCAGTAGGAGGAGGTGTAGTAGGAGGAGGTGCAGTAGGAGGTGGTGCAGGAGGAGGAGGTGCAATAGGAGGAGGTGCAGTAGGAGGAGGTGCAGTAGGAGGTGGTGCAGTACCTCTGAGTCTTCGCAGTAAAGCTTTGTCTTCAGTCTCGATGAGAGGAAACTCGTCTCTGGATGGACAGCTGCAAAAACCAAAGATACTGTGAAGTACTACATACTGTACTACAGAGTACTGAGCAGTACTACAGTACTGACCTACTGAGTGTAGTACTACAGTACTACAGTACTACAGCACTGACCTGAGAGCAGCCTGCTGGATCCACATCATCCAGGTCCGGCGGTCGTCTTTGGACGGAGCGTGCAGCTCGTACATCTCTGGAGGGGTGGAGGCACTGAGCAGGTACATCCCTCGCTCCTGATTGGCTACATCTCTGACGATCAGGTTAGTCAGAGAGACAACTGGAGACTTGTCCTGAGACAGGTGAGACAGACAGACAGACAGGTGAGAACAGGTAAAGACCTCCTGAACCACTGACACTGAAGGAATCCAGACCAGGAGAAGCTGAAGACAACAACTCCCATGATCCCACACTACTTCATGATGTCACCAACACTGTGTTACGTTATTGTTTTGATTGAAAGACCGTTAGAGGCAGAAGGTGTGACCAGGTGTGACTCACCAATGATGCGAAGGTGAACTTCTGATCTTTCTCCTGAAGGAAAACCAGGATGTCTGACATGAGCAGGACCTGCACATCTGGACACAAACACAGAGGCTGATGAACAGGTGTAAGCTCCACCCACACAGCTAGATGTGACATCACAGCAGGTGAACAGGTGAACAGGTGTTACAGCATCAGCCTCCTCTACCTTTCATCCTGGAGCCCTGGACCTTCCAGAGGAGCATCCCCTCATGGAGGAGCCTCCTCCTGAGCAGTTCTCCTCCTCTGAACACTCCTCCTCCCCGGACCTCCGCTTGGGCCCGGGGGTCCAGACGGGCCTGGATCTCCTGCAGCCTCCTGGTCCGGTCCAGCTCCAGTACCTCTTTGTCCACCGAGCTGATCAGCTCCTTCAGGAGCTGCAGCGCCTTGCTCAGAGCCTGCGCCTCCTCCTCGCTGTCTGCAGGAGGTCACAGGGACATGGTTGCACCAGAGGTGAGAGGTCAAAGGTTATTAGAGGTCATTAGAGGTCAGAGGTCATTAGAGGTCATTAGAAGTCAGAGGTTACCTTTGGTGTTGTCGAGGATTCGTTGGAGGAGGACGGGGTACTTTGTGATTCGTTGTGTCACCAGCAGGATGCACTCTTGGACGCCATGACGACGCAGCAGAGGACCACGACAGACACGCTGAGGATTATGGGATGAACAGAGACACAGACAGTCAACATCAACACAGATATACCAAGTCTAAACCGGTTTAATCACATTAAACCGGTTTAAACCGGTTTAGGTCTGAACCAGGTCTAATTCAAGTTAACCTGGATCTACAGTTAGCAACATGTTTACACTGTTTACACTGACACTGAAGTAAACCCAGGTCTAGATCTGGATAAATTAGAACAACCCAAGTTCTGAATTAGATTTAATGAGCCCAAATCAGACAAACAAAGAAGTCCAGGTCCAGGTCCTGGTCCTGGTCCTGGTCCTGGTCCAGGTCCTCACCCTGATAAACTGCTGTAGTCTTCGGTCTCTGGCTAAAACGTCTTTGTAGAGTTTCACAGCTTTCGGGTGTCGACTGCAGAACTCAGAGTAAAGTTTCTTCATGTCGTCTGCACACTGACCTGAAAACTGCACAACATACATTATATACATTATAAACATTATATACAGTATATATATACATGATATACTATACTGTGTATACATTATACACTCTATACATTATATACATTTTATACTGTATATACCATATATAGAGTATACACATTAAAGACATTATATACTCTATATATGGTATATACATTATAGACATTATATACATTACATTATATACATTATACATTGCATATACCGTATTTACATTTTATACATTTTATACCATATATAGAACATATACATTATACACAGTATTTGATGTATTCCTTCACCTTTTTGCCTTTATGGATTTTACAGGCGAAATCAAATCAATTGAAATCATAAATTCAGGAGCTCTGACTTTAGAGACAGCATGAACCTGATGTTCACCTGAACAGGGAGTCAGTCTCCCAGAGATCACCTGTGCTGCCGTACCTGTCGGAGCAGCAGGTTTCCGATGCTGCGGACGGTGAAGTTGTTGGAGCTGCCCTCCATCAGTCCCTCCTTCCTCCGGTTCAGCAGCTCTGACAGGAAGTTGGAGTGAAGCTCCAGCAGCTGGTCCAGGCAGGGGAAGATGGTGTGAACCACACCTGCCTCCAGCATCACCTCCTCCAGCATCCCTCTCCTGTACACCCCCTCCATGATCCGCAACGTCCGGACGTGGTGGAACTCTGTCTGGATCAGCTCTGAAAGACAGGAACTGGTTTAACCTGATGAAGCTGTCAGCGTAAAAGACACAGAGACGTCTCCATGACAACAGAAACAGTCAGAGACCACAGGGTCACTCATTCCTGAACATACACGTACGCAAATGTAATATATGTACATATATTGAATTTCTATATATGACATATATGTACTTATAAAATAAAGGAACAATGTAAAAATTATATATGAAACCTAGAAGCTGGAACCGTTTTCATATATTGACAAATATGTTTAGCCCATTTAAATGTGTATGTTTATGTATGTATGCTTATATATGTAGATATTATAAATAGTCCAAATTCTGAGAATATAAAGGTAGAAATGTTTAAAATGAATAAGGAAAACATGCATGAACATATAGATTTTTTATATGTATGTTGTTTTAATGAACTTGCATATATAAACTAAATAAATAAATATCATTAACATATATGGCCGCAACATCGTATACCACATAAAAATTCATCATATAGATATTTTTAATAAATTTACATATACAAATTTTACTATGGGTATTTTATATATGTTATAAACGTATATCTCCATATATCCAGAGGATGTATATATGTGATAATAAGATAAGTGACATATATGGCAACATCACTCTTGATATAGGGACATATATGTCATATATTACATATTTATATGGGTATGGAGGAGCTGAAACAGAGTTCAGTGTTTTCGGATGTTGTTTAGATGTACGTACGTACATACATACATCTACGTATATATACATATATATATATATGTATATATACTGTATATATTCTGTATATATACACACATACCGTAGATGACATCCTGTTGTTTGATGAGGTCTTTGTGAAGCGTCTGCAGGAAGTTCGGCTCCACAGCCATACTCCAGCTGTCGGCCTGAACACAGCTGCCCTCCACCTGCAGCTCCTCCAGCAGGGAGTTCCACCACCACTCCCCTACACACAATACACAACATATAGGTCACATGAGTCCTGTCAGCTGGTCGTCGCCCTGCAGCGCCTCCTGCTGGTCACAGGACAGCTTCACACTCACACAACATGAAGTGCTCAGACTGAACCTGAACCAGAACCAGAACCAGGAGCAGCTGCAGGGTTCTGCAACATGACAATCATGTGATTAAAGGGCAGAGGAGGATTATTGATACATCACATGATCAATTAAAGTGATTACATACCGTCGTCAGTCAGAGACTCCATGGACAACGTCCTGCTCCGGAAGTTTAAAGACTCGGTGGACTGAGACAGAATCCTCCTGAGACCCGCAGAGTCATCTAACCCACTGAGAGACAGACAGGTGAGAGAGAGACAGACAGGTGAGAGAGAGACAGGTTTTTTGAGACAGCTAACATAAAGTCAACCTCGCTGTTTATTATTCATATGTCTGTTACCATGGTGACAGAGCTGCATCGTGGTCACAGTTGTTAGATTATTAAAAACCACCAACAGAACCTGGATCTGTTCACTGACAGGACAAAATCAATGACAGCCAATCAGAAATCTGTTCAGTCTCACCCTGCGATGTTATTGGTGGAGACGCTCTTGGCAAGTGAGAGTCCGGACCGGACTCGTCTGGACCCGAGGAGGGACTGACGGAGACTGTCTGAGGGGTAGATGGCCGAGCTCGGACGCTCCTTCATCATCGGAGCTGAGGAGGGAGAGAATACATTTCCCATAATGCAACTGGAGAGTGTCTTTTATTGTGTC